GGCAACTAATTTGTCCTACTTGTTCTTCCCCATAATTGGCACCCCATCTCCTACCTGCCTTTTCATATGCTGTCCCAAAATCCTGAAATGTTCATTCTCTCCATCTCCCCTCACGGAGTTCTTAGTACCCTTCAAGGCTCAACTCAAACTGCCTCCAATGGGAAGTCTTCCATAATCCCCCTCATTGTTAGTGCTATCTTCCTCCTCATAATATCATGTATTTAATTGTCTGTGTGATATATTCTCCCCCTCAAAAGAATGTAAGCTCTTTGAGGACAGGTAATACATTTCATTTTTATTTATTATATCCCTAATATCCCTTCATATGATAAACACTCAAATTTTTTTTTAAAAATGCTTGTGGAATTGAATTGAGTGTATTGCAAAAACCCAGAGTAATTTTCGTGAATGTCAAGTCCTAAGTTCAAAGATGTAGATATTCTGCGTATACTCCTTAGTTTTTGATATATGCGAATTCTTTTCTATTCAGTATTTCCAACATCAGGAGTCTTCTTTTTTCTTTTTTTTTTAAGTATTTTAAATATATTTTCCCCAATAACATATAAAAACAATTTTTAACAATCATTTTTAAAATTTTGAGTTACAAATTCTCTCTTTCTCCCTCCCCACCCTCCTCACTGAGAAAGCAAGCAGTTTGATATAGATTATACATATGTAGTTGTACAAAACATTCATAATAGTCATGTGAAAGAAAACAATAAAAAAACTCAGGAAAAATAAAGTAAAAAAAAGTATGCTTCAATCTGTATTCAGACACCATCATTTCTTTCTCTGGAGATGGATAGCATTTTTCATCATAAGTCCTTCAAAGTTGTCTTGGATTGTTGTATTGCTAAGAATAGCTAAGTCATTCACAGCTGATTATCCTACAATATTGTTATTACTTTGTACACAGTGCATTTCACTTTGCATCAGCCCATGCAAGTCTTTTTAGGTTTTTCTGAGAGCATCTTTCTCATCGTTTCTTATAGTACAATAGTATTCCATCAGAATCACATATCACAACTTGTTCAGCCATTTCCCAATTGATGGGCATTCCCACAATTTGTAATTATTTGCCCCCCAAAACGAGCTGCCATACATATTTTTGTACATATATGTCCTTTTCATTTTTTTTTGTCTCTTTTGGTATACAGACCCAGTAGTGGTATTGCTGGGTCAAAGGATATACATGGTTATATAGCCCTTTGGGCATAGTTACAAATTGCTCTACAGAATGGTTGAATCAGCTCACAACTTCACCAATAGTACATTAATGTCTCATTTTTCCACATTCTTTTCAATATTTGTCATTTATCTTTTCTGTCCTATTAGCCAATCTAATAGGTATGAGGTAGTACCTCAGAATTGTTTTAATTTGCATTTCTTCTATTAATAGTGAGTTAGAGTATTTTTCATATGACTATAGTTAGCTTTGATTACTTCTGAAAACTGATCATATCTTTTGATCATTTATGAATTGGGGATTGGATCTTATTTTTGTAAGTTTGACTTAATTCTCTATATGTTTGAGAAATGAGACTTTTATCAGAGAAACTTTCTTCAAAATTTTTTTCGTAGTTACTGTTGCTAACTCTATTTCCCTACATCCTATCTCCTCCCTGCTTTTTCTATTCTCTCTCCTTTCACCCTGTCCCTCCTCAAAAATGTTTTGCTTCTGGCTACCCCTTCCCCCATCTGCCTTCCCTTCTATCACTGCCCCCCTCTTCTCTTATCCCCTACCCTTCTACCTTCCTGTAGAGTAAGATAGATTTTTATACCCAATTGAGTGTGTATGTTATTCCCTCTGAGCCAATTCTGATTAGAATAAGGTTCACTCACTCCCCTTCACCTTCCCCCTCTTCCCCTCCACTGTAAAAGTTTTTTCTTGCCTCTTTTATGTGAGATAATTTACCCCACTCTACCTCTCCCTTTCTTTCTCCCAGTACATTCCTCTCACCCCTTAATTTTATTTGTTTAGATATTATCCCTTCATATCCAACTCACACCTGTACTATCTATCTATCTATCTATCTATCTATCTATCTATCTATCTATCTATCTAATCTTCTCCTCCTTGGTTTTTTGCACCTCTTTTACCATTTGGCCTAGTCTGGTTTTTTAAGGTGTCATTTAAGGTGTTTTTTTTTGTGTGTCTCTTTTACCAAGCTGTTGACTCATTTTTCATGATTTACTTGCATCACTCTCATGTCTCTTCCCAATTTTTTCTCTACCTCTCTTTCTTGATTTTCAAAATCCTTTTTGAGCTCTTCCATGGCCTGAGACTGATTTATATTTTTCTCAGAGGCGTTGGATGTAGGAGCTTTGACTTTGTGGTCTTCTTCTGAGTGTGTGTTTTGATCTTCCTTGTCACCATAGTAACTTTCTATAGTCAAGAGTTTTTTTGTTGCTTTCTCATTTCCCCAGTCTATTACTCAACTTTTAACTCTTTGTTAAAGTAGGGCTCTGAGGGCAGCTAGGTTGTGCAGTGGATAGAGCACCGGCCCTGGATTCAGGAGGACCTGAGTTCAAATCTGGCCTCAGACACATAACACTTACTAGCTGTGTGACCCTGGGCAAGTCACTTAACCCCATTGCCTAACCAAAAAATAAATAAATAAAAATAAAGTAGGGCTCTGCTTCCGGGGTGGAGAGTGCACTGTCCCAAGCTTCAGAAATTTTTGTGCAGCTATTTTCAGAGATACCTCTAGGGTCCTGTAAGTTTTCAGTTCTTCCAAGGTGGTATGATTAAGGAGGTATTTACTTCTCTCCTGGCCTGTGCTCTGGTCTGTGAGTGCCCACAAGCACTCTTTTCTGTCCTGGAACTGTGAGCAAGGTCCCTCCGCCACTGTGGTCACAAGCTGTGGTGCGCTAGTTCTCCTCCTCATCTGGCACTGCCACCCAGGACTGCAACTTGGATCTGAGTATGGGCAAAGCAACAGAGTCTTGCCTCAATGCTAGCAAAGATATGCCTGTAATCTCCTTCTGACCAGTTGTTCCACCCTTTTACCATTTGTAAGCTGAGAGCTCTGGAAGCAGCCTCTGCAGCTGTTGATTCATTCACTCCCAAGGCCTGTTCCTGGTTTGTAGAGCTGGGGCTGCGCTGGTGCAACCTGTGCTGCACTGTGCTCCAGTCTTTCCTAGGTTGGACAGACCTTTCCTGCTGACCTTCTAAGCTGTCTTTGGGCTGAGAGGTCTGGAGACCTTCAATGCTGCCAGTTCAGTTGTCCTGAGGCCTGCTCTTAGTTTGCTGGGGCCCAGCCTGAGATGTCATGGTTTGTGATGGACTATGTTCCTCTCTCGTTCTGGTGCAACAGACCTTTCCTGCCAACTTTCCAAGTTTTCTTGGGCTGGACGTTTTTTTTTTTTTTCTTCACTCCATCTTTTATGTGTGTTCTGCTGCTCTAGAATTTGTTTGGTCATTTTTAAAAGGTATTTGGAGGGGTTCACAGGAGAGCTCAAGCAAGTCCCTACCTTTACTCTGCCATCTTGGCTCCACTTCCCCAAAGTTTTTCTTAGACATATCCTCAAAGTAGAAATTACAGGGTCATTCCTATGTACAGGTAGAGTACAACAGAATAATTCTTTTCTCTCTTTTTATGCAAGACAGCTTCAAATATTGATGATAATTATGTCTCCCCTCCAGGCTAAATATCGACTTTCTCTCAACCATTTCTTATGTAATATGGGAACATAGTTGTGTCAATGCCACCTCTTAAATTGTTATGCATAAAAATGAACACATTATTCCAGATGTGGCCTGAGCAGTTCAGTTCACAAAATATGCATTACCTCCTCTTAGTTGATCATTATGTCTTTATTAAATGATTGGTCTCTGGGATAACACAGGATTTTTTGAAATTGTGTTTCACTCTCTTTTCAACCTTGGCTATAATACATTGCCACTTTTCTAATTTGAGAGTTAGGAGGGGAAAAAAATCTCTTAAAGCATGATTCTTTCATGTTCCATGAATGCCCTAAATGCCTGGAATATGTGTCAACTTTTTACATTCTATAGAAGAGTTTCATAAGTGAAGGTGGATTTAATTTAGAAAATTTAGTCAATTCATGAAAGATGGTAGTGTTGAACTGGTTGAATTATAACCATGATCCATAATTGCCAGTCCTAGAAAACCTTGGATGCTTGACCAAATGAATCATTTTATAATTTTTTAGTTATGAAGAAGGCAGGTGGTATAGTGGAGAGAGCATTGGTCTTAGAGTCAGGAAGAAAGGAATTCAATTCTGGCCTTGAATACTTCCTAGCTATGTGACCAAGTCATTTAACCCCTTTTAATCTCATTTTCCTCATCTGTAAAATGGACATAATAATAGCACCTACCTCCCAGGATTGTTGTGAGGATCAAATGAGAAAGTACTTTGTAAATGTTAGGTATTATTATATTGTTATTATTATCTGAAAATAAAATTAAAAGTAACTACTTAAATCGAATTCTTAGAGTAACAATTGTTTGATAACATTTAAAATAGAGTGAGATGCACTTTTCATATTGAGTGCCCACAAATGTTTACAAAATTCAGTAGAACTCTTTCTGTATAGAAACATGTTAAATTTAATTAAGTTTTCTTGTTAATGTTGGAATTCCTATATTATAACTTGTGTCTATCATATTGTTGAAAAATGAAACAATGGAATGCTAAATATGGTTCCTGTAATCCTAAACCTCCATTTATGCCCCAAAATGGTCAATGAAAGACATTTGATATTGGCTTAAAATTTTTACCTAATAAAAATACAATTACATTAGCAGTGCGTAGTGGGTTCATTGTGAAACATTCCGCAATTTCTCTCACTCACCTTCTGTTTTGACATGTATATTTATATATCACTACTTTGTAAATGGCTGAAGATTTTTTTTTTTGGTGTGTGTGTGTGTGTGTGTGTGTGTGTGTGTGTGTGTGTGTGTGTGTGTGTG